TATCTATATCATCTATCTATCATCTATCTATCTATCTATCTATCTATCTATCTATCTATCTATCTATCTATCTATCTATCTATCTACCTATCTATCTATCTATCTATCTATCTTTATATCTGTCTATCTATCTATCTTTCTATCTATCTATCTATCTATCTATCTATCTATCTATCTATCTATCTATCTATCTATCTATCCCTACTTATCTCTCTCTCTCATCTACCTACTTATCTATATCTATCTATATCAACACCGAGAACATCTTTATCTATAATCTCTCTCTCTGTCTCTCTCTCTCTCCCTCTCTCTCTCTCTCTCAATTTCCCTCTCTTTCTATCTATCTGTCATATCTCTCTATCAAGTAAAGTGACCAGCCGTGGAGTCTAAGCCTGCCTGTACTTCCCAGCAAATCTTCAGTCTCGTGAAAGTTCTCCCATCTCTCTCTCTCCTCTGCCTGCACTCCCTCCCCCAACCCCCCTAGGGAAAACTACTTGTTCATCTGCTCCTGCCCCAAGTGCCTGGCCCAAGCCGAGGATCCCGACGTCACATCGGAGGAGGAAGAGGAGGAAGAAGCCGAAGGGGAGCCGGATGGAGCCGAGCTGGAAGACGAGATGACGGATGTTTGATCTGGGCTCCGGGGTGGGAGGAAGAGGCAGGTAGGGAGGGGTGGAATAGGGGGCACCTCTAGAGCCCTGGGACTGTGGTGGGATACAGCATCCTGGTCAGATGGTGGCTCGGGAGGACGTGGGTTGGGGGGGATATGGGGTGGTCAGGATATGGGGAACAAAGCAACCTCCGTATTCATTCTCACGACCCACACGGTGCCGAGGAAGAAGTCAATGGGCGTGGGTGCCCCCTGCCCCCCCTCCCCAACCTGGTGGAGTGCAGAAGACCTGGGCGTCCATTTCCAACCAACCAGGATTCACCAAACCCTCTGTGCCCTAACCAGGTTTTGCATCTAGTCGGCGGGACAGTATTTGCCTTAAGGACGTGAGAATCCAATCCCAGCTCCGATCCGCAGCTCTCGGCCTTCCCAGGAGAAGAGAAGCAGAGAAACCTGATTTTGTGTCCAGCTGCGCCTCGACTTATGACCACTGACCACTAAATTTCTGTCGTTCCGCAAGGCATTTTGCCAAGCAGAGTTTGGGCCCGTTCGGGTGAATCTTCTTGCCTTGCTCCGTTGTTAAGCGAACCGTTTGCCATTGATAAGCCAGTCTCCCGGGATCGTTAAGCGAATTCGGCTTCCCCCTTTGTCAGAAGTTCGCAAAACTGGACACAGCAATGGTCATAAAGATGAACAAGTTGCCAAGCGTCCGAATTTTCATCTCGTGGGGATGCTTGAAAAGTCATAGCTGCCAAAAAAACCGGTCTGAAGTCAATTTATCAGGGCTGTGGTCGCTTCCGTCACTAACCGAAGTGGTCGTAAGTCGAAGATTATGTATCTCTCCTCTCTCTGCTTCACCTGTGGTCTCCTGCTATGCAAAACAGCCTGAAAATATCGGAGGTGCATTTCAAGATGGCTGGGCTGGGTGTTTTTTTTTTGTGGGGGAGGGGGCAGACTCACAGGCCTAGCTCAAAAATCCCACGGGGCATGTACACCCCTCCCCATTCCCCCAAGCAGGCTGGGTTGATTCTTGCTACCAGAATCCGAACCCTGTACCCGAGTTCGCTTGGCCTGCTGCCACCTGTTTCGCCTCCCTACATTTCCCCGGCAGACCAGTTGGGATGCCTGACCGTCGTTAATCCTCGTTTTTGTCTCGTCTGCTGTCTTGACCCAGGATTGTGAGAACGATAGTTCGCCGTTTCGTCCATTCGCGCTCCTTCCGACTAATTTTGTAATTCTATGCAAATCTCTTCGCCTCCTTCAATACACAAAAGATTTGCTTCGGTTTGGCTGGGTTTCCTTTTTCGTCTCCGGAACCTCGTGTTAGGAATCATGCTTATGGGAAGTCCTTGACTTCTGACCGTAATTGAGCCTAAACATTTCCGCCGCTAAGGGAGATGGTGGTTAAAGTGGGTTTGGCCCCATTTTGCGAATTTTCACGACACGCTCGTTAAGGGGCGATGGTCATAAGGTTGAGAACCGGTCACAAGTCCCCACTTTTCGGTGTCAAACCATCACTGAACAAATGCCCGTAAGATGAAGACTTCCTATACCGGTAGTCCTCGACTTATAACAATTGAGCCCAAAATGTGTTGCCAAGCGAGGCAGTTGTTAAGTAAGTTTTTGAATTTTGCCCCATTTTACAAACTTTCATGACCCACTTCTCATGGGGCGATGGTCGTTAAGTGTGACAACCGGCCAAAACTCCTTTTTTCTGGTGCCATTGCAACGTCATACAGTCGAGAACATCCAATACAGGATGTCCTTGAATTACGGCCACACTTGAGCTCAAAATTTCTCCTGCTAAGTGAGACAGTTAAGTGAGTTTTGCCTCATTTTACGACTTTTGTCGTCATGGTTTTTAAGTGAATCACTGCAGTCCTTCCGTTAGTAACACGGTTGTTAAGCGAATCGGGCTTCCCCTTTGACTTTGATTGTCAGAAGGTCGCAAAAAGGGATCATGGGGCCCCTGCAACCGTCATAAGTATGAGGCAGTAGCCAAGGCTCTGAATTTTGATTGTGTGCAATCATAGGGAATAAAGATGGGATTAAAAAAAAATCGAATGAATAAATAAAAGTAATTAATAAATAACACATCTAGCAAGCAGAGACCCAAAGAGATAGAGAAGGGAGGCTTTTGATTTTAATTGGGGGGGGGGTCGCATGCCGCAAATTGGCAAAAGGGCAAAACACACTGATTCCTCGGCCAGTTCCTGGTGATCGCACGGAAAACCTCCGTTTCTTCTCCAAATGAGAATTCTTTTTTCCCCCTCTTTTCTGTTCTTTCTTTCTCCTTCCATTTTTCCTTCCCATATTTTTCTCTATATCTTTCCTTCCGTCCTGCTTCCTTCTCTTCCTTTTCCCATCTCGCTCTCTCCTTCCTTCCTTTCTCCCTCCATTCCTTCCTTTCTACCTCCCTCCGCCCTCTTTCTCTTTCTTTCCTTTTTCTTCTTCCTTCCTCTCCCTTTCTGCATTTCTCTCTCTCTGCTTCCTCTTTCTTTCCTTCCCTCTTCCTTCCCTTCTTCTCCCTTGTTCCCTCCCTCTTTCCTTTTTTTCCCCTTCTCTTTCTTTCCTCCCTCCCTACATTTTTCTCTCTGCTTCCTTTCTTTCCCTACTTCCTTCTCTTCCTTTTCCCATCTATCTCTACTTCCTTTCTCCCTTCCTTTCTTCCTCTGCCCTTCCTTCCTTCCCGTCCCTTTTCCTTCCTCTACCTTCCTACAATTTTCTCTCTCTCCTTCCTTTCTTTTCTTCTCCCTCCCTCCCTTTCTTTCTCCCTCCGTCCACCCTTTCTTTTCCTTCCTTCCTCCCTACATTTTTCTCTGCTTCCTCTTTCCTTTCCTCTTCCTTTCTTCTCTTCCTGTTCCCATCAATCCCTTCCTTCCTTTCTCCCTTTCTTCCTTTCTCCCTCCCTCTGCCCTTCCTTTCTTTCCTTTTTCTTTTCCTTCCTCTCCCTACATTTTTCTCTCTCTGCTTCCTCTTTTCCTTCCTTCCTTCTTTTCCCATCTATCTCCATCCTTCCTTCCTTAGAAATTTTCCACACAGGAAGATTTCATTGTTCTTAAGTTGAGGGCGGCCTGCACTGCTCTCTGATCCTTCCGAGCATCTGTCAGGCTTATTGAATTGGGGGTGGGGGGTGGGTTGACCCCCTTAAACCTGGTTAGCGTAAAGTACCAACCTAGGAAAAGCAGCTGAAGCTATACAACACACACAAACACACACACACACAAAAACCGGGCTTAGTCCTTGCCATCCAGTCTCTGTCCTTAATGCACCCAACATTAAACCACAGTTTGTTTTGGGTGAATTCACACGCCGTCGGCCACAAAACCACCATGGTATGAATTGCGTGGCCTCTTTAATCCACCCCCCACCCCCCAAAATGTCCATCTGCTTAAAAAATTGGCCAGGTTGGCATCTGGGTTTAAAACAAGGAGCTCCTTAAATGCCCCTTGCCGTTGAGACCCCAGACTCAACGGGAGGCGAAGGGTCAGGCCTAACATTTCGTGATCCTCCTGGATTTGAGAAAAGCTGGTAACCACCATCGCTAGCAATCCCACCCCACCCCACCCCGGAAGAGCTATCCAGGTTTCCTATTTGGTCCTCAAGATTGCCAGACCGCTTCCAATGTCTGCTTTCTGGGCCAGACCAAAACAAAAAACCGAAGCTATCCAGAGGACGGGATCCGGTCAGTTTCCCTTCATCAACACACGAGATCTTCCCGTGGTCCCCATCAGCTGCCGGACTGGGTGAAACGGTCGAGACCCTTGTAGGTCATCATTATCCTTTCGGTCGAGTTCTGGGACTCCACGGCTCCCCTTCTTTCTGCTACCAAAAGATCCCCGGACGCTGGAGGAAGTCGGAAGTCAGGACGCTGCTGGCGTTAACCGGGATGGAGATCACGGCCCAAGGGAGCCCGTGCTGTTCCAGAGAGCGACGGATCCTGTACCTGGACAAAAATAAGGCAACGGGAGGAGAAGGGGGTTATTTATTTATTCTTTATTTTATTTAGAGCATTTTATTTTTTTATCTTTTTTCCCCAAAGATTTTTTTTTTAAATAAGATNGGAATTCTGGGAGTTGAAGTCCACATGTGCTGACTGGGGAATTCCGGGAGTTGAAGTCCACAAGTGCCGACAGGAATTCTGGCAGTTGAAGTCCACATATCTGAAAGTTGCCGCTCTTGAAGACATGAAATGTGCCTCGGCTGTTGCTTGTGCCATTCTCCGAAAACCTTCCCCTGAAAAACTTAGCCGTTTCCCCCATATCACATAGAACTCAGTTTAAACAGTTTAAGCTTTGTGCAAATAGTACAAATTATCACGGTGAGCTGGAGGGATATGAACTCGGCACATTTTGCACCTCCCCGATGTGTACAATTCTCTTTTTATCTCCTACAGTGGTTTTCTCCCGAAGGTTTTCGATCCTTGTTTGCCCTGGTTGGGACCAACGGACAAGGCATAGGGACGAGGTAAGTCAAGTATATCAATTTAATAGCTGCAGGCAATCCTCGACTTACGACCATTCATTTAGTGACCGCTCAAAGTTATGACGGCACTGAAAAAAAGTGACTCCATGACCGTTTTCCACACTTACGACCGTTGCAGCATCCCCGTGGTCACGGGATCAAAATTTGGCAACCGACTCATATTTATGACGGTCTCCTTGTTCTGGGGTCACGCGATCCCCTTTGGCAACCTTCTGGATACCAAAGTCGATGGGGAAACCGTATTCGTGTAACAGCCGCGTCACTACCTCAACACCTGCAGCGATTTGCTTAACGGCCGTGGCAAGAATGGTCGTCCAGTCGGGCTGAATCTCACATAGCAAATGTCTCGCTTAGCAACAGAAATCTGGGGCTCCATTGTGGTCGTACGTCGAGGACTACCTATTCCGTATAGGTTGCGGTCCTAAACGTTGTGTGTTGTTCTAAAGGGCTCCAGTTGGCTTGTGTGCTGCACCCATTCCATGTGATGTTGTGCTAGTCCAGTGATGGCGAAGCTTTTTCTTACGGCGTGCCAAAATAGCGCATGCGTACGAGTGTGTGCCCACTCAATCTCCCTGCCCAACTGCGCATGCCCGCACGACCCCTCCACAGGCTCCGGAGGTTTTCTTGAAGCCTGTGGAGGGCGAAAACGGCCCTGGCCCTCCAGAAATGTAAAAAATCAGCTGGCCGGCGCATATGTGTGCCGGGAGCAGGCAGCTAGTATGCCACTCAATATGGCTCTGCGTGCCACTTGTGGCACCATTCCATAGGTTCCCCATCACGGTGGTAGTCTCTTGGTGTCAATTATTAATTCAGAAGAATTATTCATCCTTCTTAAGGTTATGGGGCTGGTGGAGGGAATAGTTCAGTGGTGGGTTCCGAGTGGTACGGCCGTACCTGTAGTAGGCAGTAGCAGCGGCCATCGTACCAGTACGGTGAATCCTTTGGCCCACCCGCCTGCCCGCTTTCCTTACCTGTTTTTTTAAGCAACCGGGCCAATTGCAGAAGCGCGCCCAGTGTTTGACGCCTGTGTGACCCCCGCCGAGCAGCTGGGTGTCGCAAGGCGGTGGTGTGCACATGCGTGCGCAGAGCGCATGCTCGGCGAGGACGGCCGGCCCCGTGCACAGCGTACCGGTTGTGACAGGAGCCGGAACTCACCACTGGAATAGTTGTAGCCCCAAAGAAACGGAGGGCAGGTTGAGACTCTTAACCCCAATTGGGCTTTGCTTCCCCCCCCCCCCCCCCCCCCCCCGCCCCAGCTCTCTGAGCCAGTGGGTCCGTGCCTGCGACGCTCTGGAGNTCTCTCCCTCTCTCAACCTCCCTCCCTCTCCCTCTCTTTTTCTCTCATCTCTCTCTCTTCACTTCCTGAAGATTCACTATTTGATATATTAACCACTAGGTGGCTAATGGATTCACTTAACAACTGTGTTACTAACTGAACAACCGCACTGTAGCAAGAAAGGTTATTAAATGGAGCCAAATTCACTTAACAACTGTGTTACTAACTGAACAACCGCACTGTAGCAAGAAAGGTTATTAAATGGAGCCAAATTCACTTAACAACTGTCACACTTAGCAACAAAAATGTTGGGCTCGATTGTCATAAATTGAGGGCTACCTGTATTCTGATTTCCCTTGAAGTCAAAAGAAGATTGTAGGTGGATGAAATAATATGCATGCATGCATGCATGCATGCATACATACATACATACATACATACATACATACATACATACATACATGGACATACACAGACACTTAAAACAGTTTGCTTAGTGATTGTTTAAAGTTACAATGTTACTGAA